ATCTGCCCCAAGCTCCCTGAAGCTCAGAAGCTAGCATGTTCCCTCTCTAGGAGGCCTGGGTCACAGCCTGTTTCCAGAGTCCTCTGCTCCTGCCTCCCACCTGCCCCGGTCCACCTGAACCAGGCATTTCTCTCTGGCTGCCTTCAAGATCTGTCTTAGAAAGTACTTCAGGGACTTGGATTTGCTCCATTTGGGTAATTTCAAGAAAAACTGGGGTTTTGGTACCACTTTGCCAGCTACTAGTTTTTAAGCAATGTTTTTAAGATCCTGAACTGAAGCAGGAGGAGTCTGCAGTCCTGTGGAAGCAAGCATCAGGGTTCCATATGGGGAGCAGTCTGGCTTAGCTGATCTGCAGCGGTTTACCAGGGAGGCCCTTACCAAGCCCTCCCCCCCCGCACACAGCTGACTTAGCCAGCACCTCCTAGAGAAGCCGAGTCACTGGGGCTGCACTGGCCTTGACCAGGGCACCCTGTGATTCATGGTCATTATCTCATTTGAAGCTCAAGGCAGCTGCAGACAGTGAAATTGACTCTTCGTGATGGATGAGGAGGGACGCTGCACAAGGTCACGTAGGCTGTCTGCTGCACTGAGGGCCAAGGACCCAGCCTCTTCCCCGCGAGTGCCGCTCACAGTGAGCTCTTACCTGCATCACCACATAGCTGGCTCTGCCCCTCCGAGGATTTCTCGAGGGAGGGAGTTACTGCCAGGCTACTCAAGAGGGGGTCTTGTGACAGTGAGGGGTGGCCGGAGCTGTTCTGCCTGTCTATAATCTTGGCCACTCCCTCGGCCTGCACGTCCTGGGTTTCTGCACCTGCTTGCACCCCACCCACACTCTTGGGACCTGCATCCTCAATCAGAAGGGAAGCAACTGCTCCCCCATTTCTGCCCAGAGCACCCTTTCAGCATCCAGCCACCATCAGACATAATGGATGGCGCAGCCAGTGTCTTCCAATTAATTGTCATCCAACCTCAGAATTGAGCATTCTGTATCTGACAGGGTGGTGAGCTGTCTGTAAGTGAGGGCATTTGAGTCGAGGCATTATAATACAGTGAGGGGTCTTCTGCATCAGAAAGTGGGAAAAGCTAACTGTGGGCAATTAGCATGTTTCCTGTTATGCTCCCATGTAAGCTCCAGGCCTGGGGTGGGAGCTAACTGTGGCCTGAGTCTGGGAAAGCCTCACAGCCCATGCAGCTTTGAACCTGCCACCTCTGTCTCGTTAGCGTAGAGAGCAGCAGCCGACTGGACTAATAAGCGGGTTCCGTAGCCACTGATTTTCCATGGAGCGCATATGTGCTTCCTGACTCCTTAACGCAGCAAGCTATTTATACGGTCGCTCCATTCACTCTTAATGAGCCTCGGTTGTGGATTGTGAAATGTTTTATTTTGAGACAGGATTGCTCACTGCCCAGAGCCAGCTGTTGCTATGCCTCCTTCCTTCTCTTCTCTGTTCCTGAGAAATTAGCATCTTGGAAGCTCCTTGGAGCACACACACAGTGACACACTTCCTCTGTGGACTCTGAACTGTGCATTTTTGTCACATTGGCGGTACCTGAGTCCCCCACCGCCTTTGGAATACTTAGGCGGATGTGCTGAGCTCTGGGGCCCTGGCTGGCTGTAGCAGGTGAAAGGGGGCAGGATGGGCCAGGAGGGCCTGCATGTTAGGAGGCAGAGTGGCACCTGTCCTTGGGGACTGAGACTCTGCCTCTACTAAAGGCCACAGTCTGGTGAAGCAGCGACCTGATCTAGCTGGCTGCTTAAAATGCACTGTCAAATTTTTTAACTGCAGAGAATTCTCACTTAAAAAAAATGGAGTTCTGGCTTTAAAAATCAGAAGGTCTGCCAATGCCCCCCTCTCAGAGACAGCGGCAGCTTTCCCTTTTAATGATGGCGTGTTCTCTGGCTTGTCACAGTCCCTGGCCCTCCCTGCTGTCTCTGACACTGGTTCGGGGTTGCTGTACATGATTACAAAGGAGGGAGACCTGGGGTCCGACCCAGTGGTTGAATGCTTACCTCCCATGCACCACGCCCTGGCTTCCATCGCCACACCACAAAGGAAAAAGAAGAAATCCTTCTAGGGACCATGTCTCTGTAAAAAGAAAGAGTGACTATGAGGGGCCCTTGTTGCAAGGAAAATGACTTCCCAGGCCTTCTCATGTCAGCCTCCTAGCTCACCGCAGTCGGTGCAAGGGACCAGCTACATCGCATGTGTGAGCCCCTTCATCTAATTCTGACACACGGGCCCTGCCCACAGCAGCTCTGTGCCTGCTGTAAGCATGGAGGAGACCACATAGCCACCTCCCTAACTTTCCAGCCAGGGCTCCTCCCTGAGCCAGCCTGCAGCTCTTGGGGCCTGTAAGGCTCCTAAGAAAGAAAGCCTTGGTTGTGGAATGGCACTTTCCCATTAGGATGGTGGGGGAGGGGCTAGGACAGGGTCTGCTCTCTTCCAGTTTTCTTATGTTGGAGTTCAAGGACCCCTCCAAGGGTAAGGGCCCTAACAGGAATTTCAAACAGGCAGTAGAGCAATGTGCAGACCACTTAGGGAGGTCACCCACACAGCGAAGACCAGTCCTGTGTGTCATCCAACATTGTTACCCTTCACGCCCCCTCCCTCTCTGGCCCCCTCCCTCTCCCAGTATCACCGTCTAGTCGTCATTGCCATGTCCCATCTCTGCTAATTTTACTCCTTTCGGGGGCTCTATGGCCCTGGGATTCTGTGGGAGATAACTAGGATTTTTAATGTAAAGATATCTGAAGCCACCAAACATACACAAGGACACACAGACCAAGAAGGACCAATTAGGAGAGGATGAAGAACCAGTGTGAACCATCTGAGAAGGCACCATTGGTCCCACAAGGCACCTCCAAGCCATTGACCCTGGTCTTCATAGTGAAAGAAAGTCATAGTTTGCCTCAGCCTTGCGGGGACCTGAATGTCAGAGGCTAGGCAAGAGAAACTGCTGGGGTGCAATGGTTCCCAAGCCCACTGTGGCCTCACCAGAGGCAGCCCCTGACTCTCGGCCAGCTGCCCATCTTCTCTGTGGCTGCCTTTCTGCCAGGCCCAGCAGAGGGCTTAGGACCATTAGCTTTTGTCCCGTGCAGGTAAAAAGACAGAAGTCAGCTACAGCTGTAGCTGCCACGTATTGAGGGTTTGCTCATGGTAGTCTGTATGGAGCTCTGTGTACCTGGAACTTTATGAGGACAGCCTGGTATGGGGCAGGGGCCTTGCTCACTTACAGAAGGGGATGCAAGATCCAGAGTCCCCATAGTGTGTGTGGTAGTCTCAGCACAGAGGGGAAAGGGAAATGCCCACCACACTCTGGAACTGTGCCTCTGCTAGCTCTCCGGGACACAGAGGCCAACGTTCTTGTGTGACCATGCCTATCATCCTGCTTTAAAAGGAAAGCCCATGCATTTGGCCTCATCCTGCCTTCTGAGCCCTTGGTTATACTGAACAGCAGTCTCAGAACGGGAAAGAGTCTCCACTCCATGCCTCCCCCTTCCCCCAGCAGCCCTGTCCCAATGTCTGTGCTGGCTTAGAAATTGATTTCCCAGAGCAGAAGGCCCTCATTAGCCACACCCTGAAGGTTAGGGGCATGGCTGTCTCCTCTAATTTGCCCAAACCCGATGATGGCCTCAGCGGATTAGCCAACTCCAGATGTAAGGTGAGGTCTTAGGGTGCCTTGCCCTCATGGAAGCTGTGGCTGACTCAAGTGCAGCCCAGGGGCACAGAGCTGTCGCTGGGGCCAGCTGGCCTGAGCTCTCTGTACACAGTACAGTATAACCCTCTGCAGCCGCCCATCTGTCTTGCTGGCTGAACCTACAACTTAATTCCACACACTGTAGACTGAATGGCCTTTGGGAACGTGGGTGAAGTGAGTGAACCAGGTCTCCCATTCTTCCTGTTCCAATAAAGCCCTGGGGTAACAGTGTGGGCTCTGCTGTATCCAGTTCCCCTCCAGACTGCCTGTCCATGGCCGAGTAAGGCTGGCAATGCAGAGGGTCCCCAGCGGACTCCTCATTCGTCCCGGGAGCACGGCAGAGAAGAGACCCACGAGGGAAGAGGCAGCTCGTCCTGCCTTGTTTGCCCCCAGAGCTGTCACCAGATCCAGGCAAGGCAGGTGGCCCATCCTCTTGCCAGGCCCTGAACACAGACCCCAGGGCTGAGGTTCCTCTAGATGGAGAACTATGACAGAGAAACATGGAGGGGAGAGAGACAGATTATAGAAACAGAGACCCAAGAGCACTCCCAACACATGGAGACCGGAAGGGGGGGAGAGACACGAGGCACAGCAGCAAGGGGACAAAGAGACTTAGAAAGGTGGGATCACAAGATCCCATTTTCTTTATCTTTATTTGGGGGGGCATCACATGGAAGTCCGAGAACAACTCAGGAGTGGGCTCTCCTCTTCCATCACGTGGAGATCAGAGATCTCAGGAGTGGGCTCTCCTCTTCCATCATGAGCGCCTTTAACCGGCTGAGCCATCTTACCAGCCCCAATGAGACTGTTTTCAAAACAAAACAAAACAAAACATGTCTTGGTGAAAGAGGCACAAGCTGAAATCAAGAGTAAGCAAAGGCTCATGCCACCTACCAGCCAAGGGCAGGAGACACATGCTCTTGTTTTGTGCCTGCTAGAAACCAGAGCATTACCTGTACCCAAACCAGCTCATCCCCTATCTCCCCCGAGGGCCTCAGCTAAAGAGCTTCCTGACCCCCAAAGAGCCCACTGCCCAGCCTTGACGCTCCCTGGACTCTGTCTGGAAGGTATGCCAGGCCTACTTAAATAGTGCTCATTTGTAACCCCTCCTCTTCCGGGAAGTTCTCTGACTTCTCTCCCTGAACAATGTCTCTCCCACACTGCCATGCTCTACCCAATTCTGTATATCCCGTTCTCTCTGGAGGAACAGTTATTTCCCTCCCTCCTCCCTCCCTCCCTTTCTCCCTTTCTCCCTCCCTTTCTCCCTTTCTCCCTCCCTCCCTCCCTCCCTCCCACCCAGAGCTCCTCATTCTAGGCCAGGGACAACAGGGTTTCCACACCCGCAACCCCATTTCCATTGATCTGTGGATTTGTCTTCATTATCTGTCTGTGAGCCTGAAGGAGAGAGAAAGTTAAAATCGATGCGAATGAATAAGCCAGCACTGGGACCCTCCTAGCTCTAGATCGGACTTGTCAGTCAGCTCTGTGCTTCCTGTGCCCGTCCTGCCTGGGGTCATCTTCAGAGCCTCTAGTGGCAGCCTGGAAGGGGTGCCAGGGAAGGAAAGCACCCTGGTATCACATAGTATTCCATGGGGCTCTTTGAGTGTCCCTGGCTGTACACCAGGTCAGGTTGGAAGCATACTTAACTCCTGTCGCCTGGTCCCAGGAGGGAAGGACTGGTACGCACTGAACATTTTCTGGCTGTCAGTGAGCCCATCCCTGGGAGGACAGGTTCCCCAGCCTTGGGACATCCTCCTTCCTGGCTGGAGCCCTGAGAACAAGCCAGAGGGAGAGCCCACTGTTCCCTCCCACCCCCAAAAGCAGCCTGCTTCCCTCGGCACCCACTTATCCCATGTCCATGGCAAATGGCTTCCCACCCTCCACCCAGTCCCTGTCCAGGCTGAGGCACATACCCTTTGAGTGTTCTAGGGAGTCATGAGAGGTGCTGACTGGTAACACTGAGGTGACCTAGGGGCTCTAGGGTCACCTGTCCTTCTGGCCCGATGAACGACCCCTTGCTGACCTCGCTGCCACACACAGCACTGCCCCTGGGAAAGGTTTTCAGAGCACAGTCACCAGATAGCTTTATCTAGGGCTTGGGGCAGGTTCAGGAAAGGAGAGGGATTCTAGTCACAAGTGACCTTCCCCTGGGGTAGCTCCTGGCAGGGTGAGGAGGTCAGAGCAGGAAAAGCAGGAAGTGGAGGCAGCCAGGTGGGCGTCTCCACCTTCAGTGCCTGGGGCAGAGGGTTCTGGGTAGTAGGGATCCCTGGGCATTGCACTGAAGCCTGATTTAAAAGAAATTGTTTTTTTGGTTTTTGGAGGCTTTGGAGGCCTCCTTTTTGAGGTTTCTCTGTGGTTTTGGAGGTTGTCCTGGGACTAGCTCTTGTAGACCAGGCTGGTCTCGAACTCACAGAGATCCGCCTGCTTCTGCCTCCTGAGTGCTGGGATTAAAGGCGTGCACCACCAACGTCCAGCTAATTTTTAAAAATCTTATCAGCTTATATAGTATTTGGCCTTTTCCCCTTGCTGGATCACGTCTTACTGAGAGTTACTCTGTCTCTCTCTTCCACTTCTTCCTCCTGTCCATGTCACAGATGAGACAATCGAGGCTCAGAGTGATGTTTGCCCAGAGGTATCCAAGGCAGAACCAGAGCCAAGGCAGTGGGCATACCATGAGACAGCCTCCCCCATGCCAGGGCCTCTGGCTCTGCCAGCAAAAGACCCAGAGGACATAAAGAGCCTTTGTGGAGAGAGGGGAACCAGGTATTTGGAGGGGGAGGGTTCCCGAGAGTGCAGGGTCATTAGGTGAGACAGGAACATGGATGCCACGTACATGCTGGGCAAGGTGGGAGAGCAATGGTCCCAGCCCAAGACAGGCGTGGGTTTAGATCCCAGCTCACCCTCTAAATGTCCTGAGAGCATCCATGCTCTCCTCCTATGAAACATGGGTTGAGGGTCCACGCTCCCTCAGGAGAGTCAGCTTCACCCCTGTGAGGTGGGCTGGGCCCAGAGCATGGAAACTTGCCTCATGCTAGGGCACATGAGCTGTGATGTATGTCCCTGGTCCCTCTTTGAATCTCACAGCCGCTACGATGGGAATCATCATTCATCCATGGCTTCACTGAGCACAGATAAATAAGCAAGGTGCACAGCTGGGGAGTGACAGGAGGAGGACGCAAACCCAAGTCTACGCCTCAGCAGGTACCTCTTAGCACAGCGTGATCCCTGGCTGTTGCCACCAAATCAGGAACCCCAACACATACACCTGTGGGTGCTACAGCCATCCTGGCAGGGCCAACTGCATCTGTGCCAGCCTGGTGGCCCAGGAGAAGTCACTGGAAGGGCCTGTGCCCTCCCCAAGGCCTTGATTGTCGTTCCTTTACGTTAAAAATATTTTTTGTTGTTTTTAGTATGCAAAATTTTCCACCATCTGCTGCTTCTTGGCACGGTGTTGGAAATATCTCCCTACTTCGAACTCTCATAGCTTCTGGAGACTTTAGGTTCTTCGGAGCAGAACAGCCACTACTCCCAAAGGTGTCCCAAGCTCACTGCCTGCCACCCACCATCTTTGCACCGGGAAGGTAGATGTGGTGTGGCCCAGATGGGGTTCTCATCCTTTCAGTCAGAACACAACATCAGCAACTTGTCTGCTACTGGGCGGGCCTCACACCTAGGTAGCTGCTGGGTCAGTCTCTTGGTTTTTGCCATGAATCTTGAAGAGGTGCGTGGAGAGAGGTAATAGCTAAGCAGAGCCTGGAGACAGGGTCCCAGGCCCCCATCCCTGTCCCCTGAGCCATCCCAGCTAGGTGTCTTGACAGGACAGCAGCTGCCACATGTGTCCTGTGAGACATTCAAGGGAGATTTTCCAAATGGGAAGAGTTTCCCCCACACCCCGCCTCATGTACCAAAACTCAAGAGTTTCCATGGTGACAGTCAAATTGCAAATCCGTCCAAGAATGAACTAGAGGGGGAAAAAAATAAAACTGCCCATCTCCAGAGAAACAGGCCTGGCTGGCTCTAAGCTGCCCATCGGCTGCTGAGGATGAGGGACCAGCATGATGGGAAAATCTCAGGGATGCCAGGGTCTCCAGCAAATGGACCAGGAAGTCAGATGGTCATGAAGGAAACCAAGATGGGAGCCTCCTCCTCCTGCCTTGTGGTAGAGCCCTGTGAGTGCGGGTGAGGATACCTCCCACAGGCTCTCAGACCAGTGAGTGTCTGCCAGGGTTTTCCTATTTACTGTCGGAAAGCCAAAGCGTGGCAGAATATAAACCCTTGTCCCCCAGCCTGTCCCACATCTGTAGAGGATAGAAGAGCAGAGGCCAAAGATTTATGAGCCTGAAAGCTTCATTTAGACCCTGGAAGATTTGGAGTCCTAGCCACTGTTTGGAGGGAAGGCAGCATTGGTACCCAGGTGGCAAATTACCCAAGGCTTGGGTTTTGTGGGAACAGGAAAAAAGCGAAGGCTGCTTCCTTGACCACTGGAAGAAGCCACAACTACTTTAGTATTATTTGTGAGACCCAGGTGTGCATAGCCTCTTCTGGGTGTCTTTCCCCAGTGACTAAGTGGCCAGCTGCTGGTCAACACTGCCTTCTTTAGAGCAGACTGGAGGTGGGATTTGAGTCTTCAGCACAGAGACCTGATGGCGTAGCCCCAGCTTAAACCCCCTGGCACAGGGCTGGGCACATGACTCGGTCAGCAAAGTGTTTGCTGCACACGCCTGACCCCGAGTTCTGCTCCCGGCATCCATGTGAAAAGCTGACGCAGCGGAGCTCACCTGTAAACCTAGCGCTGGGAAGGCAGAGATGGGCAGGTCCCGGGCTTGCAGGCTTCATAGTCTTGCTAAATTGATAAGCTTCTGGCCAGTGAGTCTCAGAAAAGAGGTGGAAGGTGATAGCGGAAGACATCCAATGCCAACCTCAGGCTTTGTGTACACACACACACTTGATACCAAAGCCTGGTCCAGTTTAAAACCCTGGGTAAAAAGAGCGGAGAGGCCAGGCAAGGGGACAGTATGTCTGAAAGAAATGAGTCCTGGTGGTCCCTGCTCTGTGATCCCATTGTGAGATGAATTGTCACTGGCAGCTGTTCCCCTTTCCATGGTTGAACCTTTTGGGCTCTGTCACAGGAAATAAAGAGTGAGTCAAATGGGAGTAACTGGGGCGGGGGAACTGTCCTGGGTTTGTTTTGTTTCTGTGATTTCTTTTAGCCCTTGTACAGCACAGGTGCCCTTGGGGACCAGGTGATAGGCACCCTCTTCCCACCTCCAGGGCTGCTGTCCGCAACTTGAGCCTACTCCCAAGCCCACTCTTGGAACATGTACAATAGATGACAGAATGTAAGGGATGACACCAGCTCCTGGGACATTCAGCCCACCATCCCTGCTGAGTCCCTGGCATCTGTCCCTTGCAGGTGTCACTCTGCATCTCAGAGCCCTGTACCCAGCCCAGCTCCTAACCGCAAAACCCCCAGATCAGCCCCAGGGAGGACGGAATATTCCAGGTCAGGAAGCATTGATTGACAGATCATGCACAAATGTCTCTGCCAGAGACGGCTATGGAGGTCAGTCACCGACTCCGCATAGGTACTCTTTTACCCCAGCTAGCATTAGCTAGCTCCCATCCTGTGGTCCTTTATTGCCCCAAAGGGGGACATAAGGATCTGCTTGCTCCAGGTGTCTTAGCAGCAGGCCCACTTCCTGCCCATCTCCTCCCACTCCTGTGTCTGGGGCCCTGTGGGGTCAGTATTTACTCAGCCCAGCATGAGTCAAAACGTGTTTGTAGCACTGATGATGTCTATGGGTTGGTCTCTGTGGATTCATGTTCAGTTCAGACCTGAAAAGGAATTACAATGTAAGTCAGGTTCTTACCTACAATTCTCGTGGACCATGAAGGGGCACATGAACCCACCCCATCCCTCTTCATTCCCACTTCCTCTTGGTTCTGTCCAAAAGGCCAAATCAGAAGTCTTGCTAGTGGCATCCCCTGGAGAGAACTAGAAAAGGGTAAGAGGCTGGAGCAGAGGGAGAAAGATCAGGGATAGTCACATACTCATTGCTCACGAATGCACACAAGCCTCCTCTTGGTGGGAGCCTTTAACAGATCTGCGTTGGCTGGAACACCCTGACAGTCATCCTGGTGGGACGAGGAAAGGTCTTGGATGGAGGAAGTTAGTCTAGTGATGACGGTGAGGAGGTGACAGATTCAACACCTCCTGGAAGAGGGGCTGGCAAGCGCCCAGTTGGCGGGGTCGCCTGGCATGCGCGAAGACCTGGGTGTGGGCCCCAGCACCTTAAAACTTGGCCTGGCACAGGCTGGAGACACGGCTCAGTGTTAAGCCTGCATACTGCCCTTGTAGAGGACCCAAGTTCAGTCCCATGCCCCTGTCAGGTGGCTCTCAACCTTCTATAACTCCAGCTTCATTCAATGCCTCTGGCCGCCATGGGCACCTGCACTCATGTGCATATACCTACACTGACATCACACTCACCAACTGAAAAATGAAAATCTTTAAGCAAACAGAAACCTAGGCATGATGGTACATACCCAAATTCCCAGCATGCAAGTAGTAGAGGCAGGTGGATCAGAAATTCAAAATCATCCTTGGCTACATAGCAATTTAAGGCCATCCTGTCTCAAAAAAAAATCTCCATTTTGGTGGTAACACTGACAGCATAGGCAAACCGAGGCAAGCTGGTTATCAGACCTTCATGAAGCACCTACTGTGTGCTGGCTATTAATAATCTCTGAAGGCCAAAGTGTTTAGTCAGCTCCAACTTTAGCTACTGCTTTTGTGACCCGAGTCCCTCCGCCAGAAGGTGGCGTACACTAAGACACAGACTCTCTAGAAGGCTCTGGATCCAGGCTGAAGGCCCATTTCCTCCACTTGTTCCCACAGAGATTTCCTTAACTGACTGGCACTTCTTTGTTGCCTCAGTGCGATTTCAAAAGACAGCAAGAGCTTGGCGGCTCAGCTGGTAGCCTGAGGAAGGGAGGAGGAAGTCTCACTAGTGAAGGAAGGGCTTTGTGGTAAAGACCTCAGCCTGCCCTGATCCCTCCCAAACCAGCACTTGGCAAGTCAAAGGAAAGCATCCAGCGCGGCACCCCCTGCCGGTGACCCTCCCGGAGACAGTGGCCTGTGAGAGAGCGACCTTTGACCCCACACCTACTTATCTTTGTTATCACTTCATTATGTGCTTGAAGAGAGTCAGAAAAGAGGCCAGAGCTGTTTCATTAAAAGCAAGATTTTGTAAAACTTGAAGAAGCAACTTGCCTTTTTAAAAAATTTTTTAATCTACTGAATTAGGCGTGGGCAGGACAACTGTAAAAAGCAGAAGGAAGACATGGAAAAATCTAGGAAGATCCTGTTGTCAGGTCTTATTTGCCCCAGTCCTTAAGCTCCAGTGACAAGAACATGAACCGGAGTCACAGGCCATGGTACAGGCTGGGTCACATGGGTCAGTACCCAGAGACGCACCCGGGCTCAGGAGGCTGGCACACGGATGCACATCCCTGCTTAAAATTAAAATAGAATGTTTGACGGATGAATATATCCTGTATTACGACGCCCACGGTTGATGAACCAGCCAAATACGGTAGTGCGGAAAAGAGGGTGTTGGTTGAGAGCTCCCGGTGAGCCCTTGCTCCATGTAGCTCATGACACCCCACTGTGCATGGCTGATGAGGACCCAGGGCAGCGGCTCCTGCTGGCTCCCTGATTAGAGTTAAGTGGTTAGGAACCACAGCCCATCTTTTGACTGCCACAGGCATGTGACCCAGTCTCCTGCCTGTGTGATGGGGGCAGGGCTATTCCCTCCCATTCTGAAGCTTCTTTTGTGAGTTCATCTATGTTAAAGCCTGTGATTGCTGCCTGGGGGTCAGCTGTGGTAAGTGCCTTTTAGTGTGGCCAGGCAGAGGCCTCAAAGTCCCTGTGCCAACCTCAAAGGTGGCCACCCGCTCCTACCAAGCAAAAGGTAGGCCATGATGGAAGAGATAGCTAAGGGACGAGTCTTCCTTAAAGGTGACAGGCATGTGGGGTCCATGTCCGCCTCCTCGCCTCACATCCTCAGCTGATGGCAAGGCATTCCTGTTCCCTGGGCCACTTTGTGGTGGCAGGTGGCCAGAGGGAGGCCTACCCTGGTCCACTCTGCCCAAGCAGTACAAAATCATCATGACTCCTCTGCTCTTATCTGTTCCAGTGGTTTCCAGTGACAGTGACTCAGATCTCAGCTCCTCCAGCCTGGAAGACAGTGCCATGGCCACTGTGGTCAAGGGCACAAAAGGTGACAAGCCTAGAGGGGACGCGGGTAAGTGTGGAAAGTCAGCTGTTTGCTGCCAGAGGTGCTGGGTGGCTTTTGGGTTTTCTTTGGTGGCAGCTTCTCCACTGGTGTCTGGAAAGTGTCCCTAGGTCCATAGGAAGGAGTGAGTCCAGGGAGGCAGGCCAGGCTCCTCTGTATGTGAGGGATAAGGAAGGAGGGCAGGGCTGACCAGAGGCCGGGCCAGCAGGACCACTCCCTCTGCACACACCTTCTAGGAAACACCCTGGTCAGCATTGCTCAGTTTACCTAGTGAGCATCACAGGCATGTGGAAGTCAGGTACAGTTCCTTTGGCCATCCATGGCATCCCCAGCATGTGCCATCACCTCCTGATGGCCACGGCCTTCTCTTCAGCACAAAGAAGGTGGAGCAGGCCATCTCCAAAGTCCCTTCTTGTGTCTCCTGGCATGGGTTAACGGGAGCAATGAGTTAGGAGCAGAGAGGGAAAGGAAAACAGAAGGCTCCCATGTCTTTAACAGAAGGACCTTCCTTTGTCCTCTTGGGTCAGAGCTAGAACCTTTGAAGGAAGTTTCAAGGAGGCTGATTTTGGTATGTAGAGTGAGCCTTATAGTATCTGCCCTAAGCTAGACGGTGGTGACACACACCTTTAATCCCAGCACTCGGGAGGCAGAGGCAGGTAGATCTATGAGTTTGAGGTCTACAGAGTGAGTTCCAGAACAGCCAGAGCTATATAGAGAAACCCTGTCTTGAAAAAACAAACAATATCTGTACCAAACTGGAATAAAATGCCTTGGGGTACTATCCTGTAGCCAAGACTATGACCTCAGGCCAAAAATGACATGGCAGGAATCCTTGTTGGGAACCAAAATTTGAGCTAAGTCAGAATTGGCCAATGTCTGGCACACACACTACCACCTCTACGTCCAGTGCCATGGCAGACATTACTAGTTGATTATAATGCTCTTTCTCCGATGTGCCTTCAGAATCCTCCTTAATAGTGGCCCACGTGGTCAGTATCAGGGAAATGAGACAAGACTTGGCACCAGCAGCCCCAAGATGCTCCACCGGGACAATGTTGCACAAATTGCCTACCAACCTTGGTTTCAGGACAGGCTTCTCTCTCTTCTTCATGACAGCCCCTGTCTCCTCCCTCCACACCAACTCTCAGCGGGGTAGCACCATCTTGAATAATCATGTCATCTTCAAACCTATCTCACCTGCTCTCCCCTCCCCCACTCTCTTCCTCCTTCCAGTTACTGCTTTATTGTTTTCACTTATTGGCTTGGAGGCCACGGTGCATGTGTGAAGGCCATAGGACAACTTATGGGAGTCAGTTCTCTCCCTCTACCATGTGGGTCTGGGGATCAAACCCAGGGTGACAGGCACCTTTGTCCACCGAGCCATTTCTCTAGCCCCCTTAATGCTTTCGTAGAAGCTGCATTGCATTACCCTATTTCTCATCGCCCTCAAGGTCTCTCCCTGCCCACTCCATTTTCAACACACACACACACACACACACACACACACGCACGCACGCACGCACGCACGCGCGTCTTTAGTCTTTAGTAGTACAGGTAGCAAGGTCTACCTTAATACCGCCTCTCTTCCTTTCCCCACATTCCCTTTCTCCACCCCTCTCTCTGTGAGGGTAGGAAAAGCTAATCGCCAATATTCTTGTCAGTAGCATGTTACTTAGAGTAGAAGTCCATTCTGTTGCTCGAGCGTGTCTTGGGTAGGCCAGCAGAGGGTAGAGGTCTGGCTACAGCAGGCAGGCACGTAGGTGGGGACTGCTGGGCAGACGGTCCAGAGTTACCACCACAAGTCCAGGTAAAACTGAGCTGGCTCTTTGCTGGCGAGCCCAGCTACATCTCCGTTCCCATCCACACACGTCTCTTGCAGGTGGCAGCGTGGAGTCACCCAGGATGGGGCCTGTCTGCCCACCCAGCCATCTCTCGGGTAGCCAGAGCAGCCTGGCCAGTGAGACTGGGGCAGGTGCCTCAGACCCACGGGGAGGCACCCAACCCTGGCCTGAGCCCAGGGTGTCCGGTGAGTACTGCCTGCATTTTCAGCAGCGCCTTCATCCCCTCCCCCCCCCCAGTGGCCGGTAACATTTTCAGTTCTTCATGTTTACTGAGCTCCATGCCAGGCAGTGGGGAGCAAAGGTCAGCCAGACCCAGCCCTGACCAGAGGGACTCAGAATGGTGCCACCACCTTCTTCTACTGTCCCTTGTCAGTCTTCCCTTGCTCCTAACAGCTGCAGGCAGTTCTCACTGAGCCTGGCTCGGGAACAGTGGAGTGGGTCTGTCCTTATTCTCCAGAGCCCACCACCTCCAAGGCTTTCTCGAGCCTTGGTGTACACGTGTGACAGGTTCGGAAAACAATGCTGTCACCCTGCCTTGTGCTCACTGGTCCAGCATGGGAGCATCATGATGTGGGGTGCATCATTCTTAACCCAGAGAAGGTGCTGACTCTTTAAAGACCAGCCTCAGCTAGGCTGGGCAACTCTGGCCAACAGCCCACAGGCACATACATGAAACAGCATCCGATGTGCCCCTTGGAGTCTCCCTCAAGTAACCTGAGTACACCCCACTAACGACCGCATTCCCTGTTCCATGGTTCCTCCAAAACCACGGGGTACTGAGAGGGAGACAGCAGTAGGCAGGCATGGGAAGTGGCCCCTGTCTCCTCTCTGCAGCCTCCTGCAGTCCCTTATAGGATTTACCTAGTCCCAGCTCCAACACTGAGTTTGGGCACCAGCAGTGAACCTATGTGGTGCTAGAGGTCTCTGTCTTGAAGACGACCTCGGTTTGGACAGACAAACCAAAGCATGGTGGCAGATAACAAGCTTGGGAGCACACAGCACGGTGGACAGTGCAGGTTTATATGCAGGCTCGCCCTGGACTCAGGAAGGCCCTGCCCTCACATCTATTCATCCCAAAGCTGGCTTGTCACTCACTGGGAAGGAAGCCACCCCACTCTCTCTTCAGTGGTCTTTTTCTCTCTCTGCCAAAGGTAAAAGACACACACGGGCAACTCCCCGCTGCTGATGTGGCCACCTGGCATGCCTAGGCTGAGCAGACCCTCCAGAGGAAGATTCGGGGAGAGATCTCAGCGCTCCCTGGCTCCTTTCTGAAGGTCCTTGAGGTCTTGCAAGCACCCTGATGGCCTTGACCTCCAACTCAACAAACCAGTGTTTGGGGACCGAGTGCTTGTCCCCACCTAGTGCCTTGCTGCACCCTCCTAAGCAGAAAGCCTCGTTTTCTACCGCCGCCTTTATTTATTGTCCACCCCAGTCATCCCCATGTCTTGCTCTGCTTGGGTCTTGGGTTGGACTGGGAGGGCCTTCCTATATGCACTGAAATTTCAGTGGGGCCACACAGGGCTTTCTTTGTGCTAATGGTGAGAAGAAATCTAACCCTGAGTGTGACCCTGCAAAGCTGAGTGATCCCTCAGTGTGGAGCAGTGTCCTATCTGCCCCAGGCTAGCCCAGGAACGGGGTTTAACCCAGCTTTGAGGTTTCCCTGAAGACCCTGTTGGCCTCCAGGTTTTTGCTCAGCCTGGGCACATAGCTCCCCTAATATTAAAACACTTTTTGTTCTTCAATGGAAAACAAGGCTCCTACCCTGCCTCATGCTCACTGGCCCAGCCTGGGAGTTTCTCATTCTCAAACCAAAGAAGGCATGAAAAATACTCAAACTGTAAACCTTCCCTGGGTGGGTGGGTGTGTCTGTGCTCTTCCTTCCTGTTAGTCTATTTCCATCCTTCCCCACCATCCTCAGTCCTTGGAGTGTTTTCTCTCCAAGGCCACCACGTTAGCCTTGTGCCCTTGCTGCAGGCAGAAGACAAAGAAACTCTCGGTTTCCCTGTGACATGTAATGCTTCAGGGTTAAAATAATCAACATGAGAATTCTCATGGAGCCACTCTTGACCCAAAGACCACAATCGCCACATTCAAACCTGTATTGGGATGGCAGTGGGTGGATTAAAATAAAATTTTAAAATGTACTGCTAATTCGCTGACATCCCTTCCTAAAGCCTGGTAAGAGGAGCCAGCTGGATCAGGGCTCAGTGCAACTCCTAGCACTAAAGCCAGCCACTGACTTCTGGCTGCATGTGATAGACGGAGGCACACGCGCCGTTTCCTCTGTCCCACTCAACACAACCTAAAGGAATGAAAACAGATGAAACGCAAAGACAAAGGGACAGGAGGGGATGAGAGCGATTTGGAAAGCTAAAAAGGTGGGACGGTAAGATGCATTCATTGTCAACCTCCGGAACCCCCAAGATCCAGGGGGGAGGAGCCAATCACACACCTGCCCACATGCTCTGTCTTCCCTAGGAAACTCAGAACTGGCGAGGAAGCCAGGAGAGACCAGGAAGCTCAGTAAGGCTCTCAGAAGTACTGGGTTGTTAAATGATTGGCCACGGGCTGGTAGAGAGCTTACCTAGCATGTAGGAGCCCCAGTGCTCAATCCCCAACACTGCAAAAAAGAATGAGCAGTGACCCCTGACCTCATCCCCTTGGCCCTCTTCCCCATACCTACCCCCATGAACTCTAGGCCCACATGACCTGGTGACTGCCCTTCCCTGACCCTGGTTAACAAGTTAACTGCTGGCCGGAGGTGAACTAGAAATATAGCCCAGAGGCTGGGTAAGGTCTCTTGCTGAAATCTACAATGGTCAGTAAAAACTCAGCCCATTGCCTGATGACAGCCACACAGGCCTATTCCCTCCCCTCTCCCTCCTGCCTCCAAGTATGAGACTATCTTGGGCTACATGAGGCTGTCTGGTGGGGGTTGGTGGGGCATAGAGATAAAAGAGGCTAACAGGAAAATTTCCAGCAACATAGATGGTCAAACTTGCAGTTAGGGAACTTTCAAACTGAAAAATAAGAGGGGTAAGGGATGGAGGACTCGTGAGTGTTAGGGCTGGAGGGATGGCTCAGTGATTCAAAGCACTTGTGGATTTTGTGAGTTCGGTTCCCAGAACCCAGGTTAGGTGGCTCCTGACTGGACTGCGGGTAACTCCAGCTCCAGGGGACCAAGCCCGCAGCACCTGCACTCACTCTCACGCACACACACATACAAGAACCCCGTAACTTGAGAAAATGAGGGCTGGAGAGATGGGCAGGAGTGTGAAAGAGGTGTCCCAGTGTGGAGGGGTCATCCGTGATACCTAAGAGTGACATACATACGTGAACTGGAAAGTAAAAAGCTAAGACTAGTAGACCCAAAGACAGACTCAAGGGAGCTAAAGGTCCCCAAGATTGCCTGGAGGGAGAGGCACTTGGGATGGGCTGGGATTGCCGTTTATTTGGCATGGGACACTTGAAATACTGGGATCTTTCATACGGTAAGTATGTACCATGGGGTGGTGCGTGTACCATAGCACACATGTGGAGGTCAGGGGACGACTTTGTGGAGCCTGGTCTATTTTTATACCAGTTAAGAACATCAGACATCCTGCCGGCCCCTTGAGTCTTTTACTGGAAAGCATACATATCACATATCAAACGTTAAACACCCTGGGAGGGTGGCTGGCGGCAGTGAGGAGCTCTCAGCCTGGAGCAGGGGTGAGGTGGTAAGGAACCGCCAGGCAGAGAGAACAAGCCCTGAGCTGCATCTCAGTCTCCTACGCAGACCTCAGAGACTTAGTGCCATCAACTCAGGACCGCTTAGCAAGGGTGCAAAAGCAGCCCACAGTCACAGAGATCAGTATGCAAATTAGGCCAGCCTCACAAAGACAGATGCTCTAGATAGTCTCACTGTGGTTCCTAGATTTTATGCAGCCACATAAAAGCATGTGTGTCTGTGGTAATGCAAGGAGAAGTGGGATTGTCTAAGGCAGTGGTTCTCAACCTTCCTAATGCTGTGACCCTTTAATACAGTTCTTCATGTTGTGGTGACCCCCAGCCATAAAATTATCTTCATTGCTACTGAGAACCACTGGTCTAAGGGAACAAGAGAAACTAATGGGAAAGGAGAGGCAAGGAAGGGAAAGTGCGTATATTCAACATACAATATGTACAAGTGGGCGCAGAGGGGCTAGCAGCTGAGACAGTATTTCAGAGAACCTGAGTTCAATGCCTAGCACCTATGTCAGGCAGCTCCAGGAGGGCCTGGCCTCCTCCAGCACCGGTATTCACATGCACACATCTATACAAGCAAATTAAAAAATAAAATAGTATATACTTGTGAAAAAAAACTTTAAAGCACTCCGTATTGAGTAGACACTTAGTAGGTGTGTTGTCTCCATTTACTTTCACATGTGTGAGTGTGTTGCATACATATGTTTGTGCAATGTGTGCATGTAGTGCCCAAGGCAGCTAGAAGAGGGCCATCAGATCTCCCTGGGACTAGAGATTGTGAGCCAGCATGTGGGTGCTGGGAATCAAGCCAGGGTCCTCTGCAGAAGCAGCCGGTGCTCTTAATTGCTGAGCCATCTCTCCAGCCCAAAAACTTTGAGTTTTGCTTTGTTTTCTGTTTTGGTGTTTTGTTTTTAATCTTTCACACTAGTTAACTTCCTCTTGCAATGGTGAGTGGTGGCCATTAGCAGCAGCAGCCGGCCAGTGCTGAGAGCATGAGGGGAACACCCCCGCCCACAGCCTGCTCTGCCACAAGCTCTGGTGTCCAGAAGGTCAAGCGGACCCCATGCATTTCACCTTAGGATATTTCATAGGACAGGCTTGGAGGGACAGAAGCCGTCCTAGATCTGGGCGTGCCTACATCTACACCCCAGCCTGTAGGTGGCTGTTCCCCTACCTCTAAGCTACAGTGCTCTTCCCGTGTCTCTAAGAATGGCCAAAGGCCTCCCAACCCCACCGCAGCACACGTGTCCCACCAGACCCCAGGCCTGGGCCCCCCGGCCCCCATATCCTGCAGCTCCTAAAACAAACTACAAATGCGCTCCCTGGGCACAGTTCAGCTCCAATTAATCCTGGGCAGTTCGGTTTTACAATTGAGATGGGCTCCAGATACTTCTACGAGGTCAAGGGCTGCTCCAGAGTCCAGGCTTCTCTCAGCTGCTATAGAACCAACAAGCCATTCTTTGCAGAATGTGTTCAGGGTTCCAACCAGCCAACTTACCACTCAGGACTGTGCTTTTTGTGGTGGTGAGTAGAGGGGGAATCTACAATGTCTATCAATATCCAGAATCGTCTCAGACATCAGGTGACCTGGTAGTCTCTGCAAGAGGAAGCAGGTACGATGTTCGTGACTTTGGGGCACCTGGTTTCCAGCCTCAGCTCCACTATGTAGCACCTGAGTTTATACCTGAGCTCTGTGCCTCGATTTTCTCATCTATAAAATGGGGAGACTTCCTTCACAGACATCTGTGGCCATTTAAAGCGTAAAGGCACCTGTGGGTTCCTACCAGCCTGTCAGTCCCAGCCGCAAGCTACTGCTCGGCAGGACTCAAGCATGATACGGACCCCAGTCGTTCAGATGCATGAGAGCACGGTGGCTGTCTTACAGACGCCCCTGCTCTGCCCTCTGCAGCTCTGGAACAGTGAAACTCACAGTGCTGATCTGGCCATGGACCGCTGCAGGGACCAGGTGTAGTTAGACATCGGGACTCAGCAGTGCACAAAACAGACATGGCCTCTACCCTGTCCCCACAAAACAGACATGGCCTCTACCCTGTCCCCACAAAACAGACATGGCCTCTACCCTGTCCCCACAAAACAGACATGGCCTCTACCCTGTCCCCTCTGAATCACCCACCCAGCAGACTGCAGACAACACTGGGAGCTCTCCACGGCGTGTCTGGGTCAGAGGCTGTTAACAGAACTTTCTCCCTGGGTAGGCACCAACAAATGGCTACCCCCTCTTCATAGGGCATCAACCAGACAAAGTATGATTCCTCCAAAGTCCAACGTGGGGAACCCATGAGTTTATTGGGCTTCCTCACCAGGCATAAGTGATCCCAAAGCACTCGCCCATAGCTACAGAGACAGTTCAGTTATTCTTCTGCTCTATACCAGCTAGATTCCTCCTGAGATCATGAAACCACATGCCTGTGCATATGCATGTATGTGCGCTCCTGCATTTGTGTGTGTGTCCGTGTGTTTAGGACAGAATCACCTACAGCTGGCTGGGAGGTGCAAGAGGGCGTGGCTAGAGGTTCAGATGAGAATCCAATGACCCTTCCTCCTCCCTCCTATGAGGGAGCATCAAGAGTCAACAGACCCCATCTCTAAGGTCCCCTGGCAAGTAGTCACAGCTGCCCTGATGCAATAATGGCTGGTATTCTCAGAGAGCTGCTCTCTACCACTGAGGCTGGGAGAGAGGCTGCAGGGATGGGGGTGACTTTTACACTTCCGGGGGCAGGAGACCTCTCTTGCAACCTCACTTTGAAGCTTCTGGAGTGTTCTACCTGTGTTTCCTAGGGCTGGCAGTCCTAGCCCCACACTACCTATGAGATCTGGCACAGACCTTGGCACAGGAGATGAGACCAGCAGAGAAAGCATACCTTCCTCACAGGCCCAGGTGGGTACCTGGCTTCTGCTAGCTTCTCAGCATCCCACCCAAGCTGGAGAAGCTCTGGCATGAGGATCATCTACAGCAGTTCCCGCAGACACACTCAGCACATTTGAACGACTTCCACCACTCAAAAACAGAAGGTCCCTCCCTAATGCCTAACACGGTGTCTGACGTCACATCTGCAGGGTCTCAGGAGCCCACGCTATCTGTGTCTGCCTGTGTCTGCTCCTCACATGAATTGCTGCTGCGTTCTGGCTGAGCGCAAGGTGAACCCAGCTGAAGCTGTAAGGCTAAAAGCAACGGAGGCCAGCATCAAGGTCTCCAGGCAGCGCCCTCCCTCACTCCAGCTCCACCCACCCTGCCTCCTCCCGTGCTGAGCTTTATTTGCTGACAACTAACAGCTCTCAGTTCCACCAAGCCAAGGCCAGAGAGAGATGAAGCATTTTGGTGTGAGGGGAAGATAATAACCATGGTGGCCACCATTTGTTGAGCCAGACACCTGCCACCAGCTTTAGGGACTCATACCCGCCCAGGAGTCAGGCACCTGTTTCACTGTCCCCATTGTACGGAGAAGGAAAGCAGAGACATCAAGAGAGCCTGCTGATGCACCCGAGGGGAACAGATGCCCAAGACTGTGCCATGAGCCTGAGGCTGCAGTGGGGACCGGGCTTGGAGGAAACAAATTAGGACTCCAAGTAAGAAGGAAGCAGCTGAGAATGGCCTTCTCAGTGGAAGGCAGAAAACCAGTCCCTTGTCCTTCTGGAGAATTTCTACTGCTGATATGACAAGTGAGAGTAAAGCCCAGTCCCCCACACAGATTTTACCCACTAGCTGGAAACTGCCTGGTGCCCACGGCCCAGTGTGACAGAGTGCCCAGTGCTGACAGCAGTCTTTGTTCACTGAACTGGACCTAGTTGATCTTGGGCTTAATAATGCCTGGGCTTAGTGCAAGGGGGGATTAGACTAAGAGGGCTTCTAGGAGCTTCTGCCTCTCCAGGCTTCCAAAGCCTCAAACCTGTGCACTCACCCACAGCCTGAAGGTGTGACCAGGGCATAGGGATGACCCTTGAACTCCAAGAAGATATAGCTCCCCAGAACCTAGCTTACCTCACAAGTCCCCACAGGTACTCCATTCTCCCATGGTCACTTACTTACTCTTGTGCATGCGTGCGTGTGTGTGTGTGTGTGTGTGTGTGTGTGTGCGTGTGTGTGTGTGTGTGTGTGTGTTAATATCACCTCCGTTCAGTGGCATTCATTCACAACATTGCATAACCATCACCATCACTCATTGTTAAACGTTTATCATCAGCTAAAACGAGCTCTGCACTCACTAGGTTATAGCTCCCCACACTTCTCCACTGCCAGCCCTGCCAACCCATTTATTATCTTATTTTTTGACTACACTTGGTACCTAATTTAAGTGGAACACATAATATATGACCATTCTGTTTGCTGGTCTCACTTCGGATAGTGTCTTCAAGGCCCTTCCATGTTGTGGCATGTCTCATTTCAGATCTTGGACATCAGCTGAGTGATATTCCACGTGATGGATCTACTATGAGATGCTGGCCCAGTCATCTCTCCATGGGCATTTAACTCGCTTCTTTCTTTCAGCTATTGGGAATAAGCTTCTGGGAACACAGGACTCCGAGAATGTGTCCATACCCCCCTCCTTTCAATGCTTTTGTAAAGGGGATGCTAGTGGGCCATGGCTGACCTCATTCCTTGGCACAGAAATCCCAGGAAACAGAATTACATGCCTTCTAATTCCCAGTGCGAAGAAGCAGGCACAATCACAATCAGAAATAGCAAGTCACGTAAACAGCACCTAGGAGAGTCTTTGCTTCCCTCTGAAACTCCAGGCCTGCCAGCATTATCAACCACAGCCGACAGGCAGGTGGGTCCTTCCTCACAGGTTTGATTCTGGTGCCCATCACATACTTATCTGGTTCAAAGACAATCAGGCTGAAGGCTTTTAGAGAATTCATAAATTGGCCTGGGGATTAGTGTCACCCAGCCGACACAGGTTACATTCAGCTCAGGGGTTCTCTTAGACACAGCCAGGAAAGTTTCAGACCCATCCATTCAGGCCAGTGCTATTCTGCCCAGCTTTCAACAGGAACTGGCTTTTCATATCCTGCTTTCCACATTACATCTTACCACACTAACGTGAGGCCAAGGGTTCAAGATCACAATAAGCAGCACCTGTAACAGAAAGTAGAAGAAAATGGGGAAAAGTGAAAAGCCATTCCTGGTGGAGCAGGGGGTCAGAAGTACTGATACGGGCATGGGCATTAGTGACCATGAGAAAGGGGGGGGGAACATATTTGCTCTAGTCACAGGAAGACGCTTGACTGTGTGTGACCTTAATGATGACTAATCTTATCTATGTCAAAGCCACCATTTGAAAACACCTCTGTTGTAAACATTCCCTTTGACCCATTTTTTGTTTTGCTTTTATACACTCAGGGAATAATTTACCCAAAATCTAGAGGATATGGAATGCTTTTTTTCTTAGCCTGTTGATGTCACAGCAACTGGAAAGTAAGTAAGTAAATAAGCAGGCATACAGGGCACAAAGGGGCAAAACCAAAAGCAGGCAGCAAGAAGGGAAAGGATAAAGAAAAAGTGGAATTTGAGAGACCCTGCAGAAAGAGCAGGCACTAAAACACAGCAGAGGCCTCATCTCCAGCCTCTCACCCAGCAACTCGGTCTGTCATTGCCTCCAGCTGTTACTGTCTCCTGGAAAACTGTGATGCCAAGGCAAAGGGCCCTCCCTGTCTTCTCTACCAATTGACTATTGCAGTGCCTAGGATTAAACCCATCTCAAGCGTGTTTGGGCAATCCTGCTGCTGAGTTCCATCCACAGCTCCCTACAGCCAGCACTCACACCATTTCCTTCCCCACTCCTCCCTCAGCCTGGGGTCCTCCAGCACCCAGTGTCCCCTCGAAGGCCAGCAAAGAGCTCTGCACATGCAGTGGGGGCAGAGGGAGCCTGAGCCGGAGAAGGGGTGTGTGTGGAGAGAGCATCTACTCCATCGTCCAGCTGAGGGAGACCCTGTTCCTGCTCTTATAGCTCCTGAACATGACAACTCTTTGAGACGGAGCATGCTTACCTCTCCTGAGAGCTTCAAGGAGGAGTGAGGATGAGCCTCCAGGAGTCATGATAGCTCCAGACAAACAACCGAAGTCCCTCTGAGACGCCTGTGCCCAAGCAGGCTTTCTTCCACAGGACAGAACTTTCCCTCCTAGCTCAGGCACAGCCTCCATTTGTAGTTCAGGCACTCCTCAGAGCAAGCCGGTTGGTTAACACTTCTTTTTAGACAGGGTTTCTCCGTAGCTTTGAAGTCTGTCCTGGAACCCACTCTGAGGATGGCTTCAAACTTCTGCCTGCCCTGCCTCCCAAGTGCTGGCATTAAGGGTGTGAGCTACCGCCACCACCCAGCATCACTTTACAACAAGGAACAGAAAACTGAGCAGGCCTTCATTCCCCACAGACCGTCTACTCCCAGGTGCCCACTCTTAGCTGTTGTGTGGGGTGAAGAAGCAACAAAGGAGAAGAGTGCCCTTGCCCGTGGACCCTCCCAGGTGTGCCTCATGCCCGTGGACCCTCCCAGGTGTGCCTCATGCCCGTGGACCCTCCCAGGTGTGCCCTTGCCTGTGGACCCTCCCAGGTGTACCTCATGGGGAGTCTGCCCTCCCACCCTTCCGCCCTGGGAGATGGTCTGTTCCTTAGGACTCCATTTGCCCTCTCCCTCGGCGCAGAGGTGACAGCATAGCCTCCTCTGCGATGGGGGGCTAGCTGAGGACCCCCACTATGCTAACCATGGTAGAAGGGATTCCCTCGCTAGGAAAGGACCCTCAGGGCCAGAAGGGTCATGGTCACATCTGAGTCCTATGCATTTGTATTTAGGTATACAACCTTGAGTAGAAGGCTTCTCAAATCATGGAGCAGAGATCCCAAAAACTATTACAGGGGTACAGGCAGCCACTTGGAGGATTGCTGGGTTTGTTCCCTGACATAAACAAAGAACAGAACATCCGGGAAAGACAGATGAAAGCTGCAGAGAAAAGGGAGCTAACAGCTTCAGCCGGGGATGGGAGAAGTCTAAGACGAGTCTGCTAGAAACACAATTGCTTGGATATTTCAAAGAAGTCAGGGGCCTCTCCTTTTCCCTATTGGTCCTGTTGAGAAAAGCCCCGCCCCCAAACAGCCTCTAAATTTCCTCTGAAAACAAAAACCTGCCAAGTCAGGGAGCCATTTCCCCTTTCGTGATCCATGCCTCCCTAACTCTTCACTTTTGGATATGAACCCAGAAGTAAAACTGGCGTATCGTATCATTCTATGTATTCATTTTCTGTAGGTGCACAGTCTCACTATGCAGCCAAGGGGCCTGGAGCTTGCAATGCTCCTGACTCTGCTTCCTCAGTGCTGGGATTTCAGGCTGGCTTTCCTGCATCTAATGTCTGAGGCACCACTTCTCATGCCTCCGGCAGAGCCCTCGGGTCTGCCTGTCCCCTCTCGCAGGTGCCATCCTCCAGTCTCCTCACAAGCCGCCAGTACCCGTCCCCAGTGAGCC